AGCCCCATCTCCAAATACAGTCACATTGCGGGCTAGGGCTTCACCACGTGAATTGTGAAGGGATACAATTCAGTCCAATGCACCTAATGTACCATGGCAAATAAATAATGGGGTCTGTATCTGAGCCCAAACTTGAGCCTGAGCCCAAACTTGACCCTAGTCTTCTGCGCATGCTCTGCTGGCTCACTAATCCCCGTACACCCCAAAGACACTGTGGGAAAGTGCAGGACCTACAGCTGGAGGTGACACAGCCTGGTGGCCAAGCGCATGGGCTCGGGGGTCAGAGAGAGCTGCACTCGAGCTCTGGGACTTTGGGCAAATGGCTCCTCACTCCATACCCGGGGCTCTAACAGCGCTATTCACAGCCTCGGCGGTGCTGGGAGAATTACAGAGGATGATGCAAGTGGAGAGGCTGGCACAGAGGAAGCCCACCCAGTAAGCACCACAGCCGCCGGGAACTTTCTCCACTGACGCATTCCAGGCGCCCAGAACAGTGCTTGACGCTTAGTAGGTGCTTAATAAACACTGTGGGATGGATTTTTCAATTGTCATTGTTATCGACCAGAATCCCTGGTGTCAGGGCTGGCTCTGCTCATAGCCACTGTAAGGCCTAGGGCAAGATTCTGACCCTGCCTGTAAAATGAGGATGATGGGGGTACCCACCATCAGAATTGATCTGAGGACCACAGGAGACAGTCCAGGGAAGGTCCTTCTCCAGCAGTGCCTCACGAATACTAGGCATAACCACCACCACAAGGGAGACCCGGCTTCCTTACCGTCTCTGGAGTGGACCTGGATAGACGGGGCAAGGTGACATTTGGGGAAGGAACAGTGTTCTAGGGGAGAAAGGAAGCTTGAGTGTCCACCCAGTCCCACCGGCCGGGCATGGCCTCTGCCGTCTAGGCTCCCCTCTAGGCTCCCATCCTGTGTCTCCCAGCGGCGGTGGGGGAGGGGACGCTAGGGAGCCGCACTGGCGGCAGGCCAGGGACCCTCCCTGCGCTCTGCTTTAGGACTCTGTGAGGAAGGCGGAGGAGGCAGGAACCACGGCAGGGTGGGGAGCGTCCACTCGCGCAGACACTGGCACTGCTCCGGGTCTAATAAGAGGGGCTCAGGTGGAGGACCGGCAGCTGGACTCTGGGGTGCACGTGTGGGAGGGAACCTTCTCTTGTGGGGGAGGGATCTTCTTTGACAAGGCCCCCCCTGGGGAATTCTGGTAAATTCCCAGGGACTTTGTGCTCTGCAAAATATGTGACGTTGTGCTCTGCCGTGGGGGGAGATGGGCCCACAGTCTGCCCCATTTCTACTTCTGAGGGGATCACAGCAGGTCTAGGGGATGGATGCCAGGACCCCCAGACTGGAGACGGAGGCCTGAGCCTTCAAAAACCGACCATCCCCCACAGGAGGATGAGGCTCAGCTGAATGGGTCCCTGGAGGCTGGTCCACATCCAGCCAGGCCCCCAGGCGGGGTATTTTTAACTCGAAGCAGGGAGATGTCTATGGGGGCGCTGCGCTCACTGACAGCTCTCTGGTGACATGCTTGCTGCCCATCTGCCTGCGCCGCCACCCACGCGCCCTTCTCCTCGCCGCTCCCAAAAGGATGCGGACACCAACAGATGGACTCCAAGGCTGCTCTGGCTGGGAGGGACCCTGACGGTGTCACGGCGTCTACTGCCCGCTCCTTCCTCCGGGGCTCTGGCACAGCAGGACAGGCAAGGTCAGGGCCCTTCCACAGATATTTTGGGCCGAGCACCTCACAAGAGCCCTTCCCCTTCTCCTCGTGCCCACTAGGTGTTGTCTATACTGAGTGCCCACTTCCTCAGCCCCCGCCCCCACTGCTCTCCTGAGAGTGCTGTCACCACAGCCGCCAACGAACTGTGTGGCCAAACCCAGCAGCCACTGTCCAGGCCTTAACATACGTGATGTGTCCCTTCCCTTTCACACGGTCCACCGATCACCCCAACCCCACCCCTGTCCCCATCTCCAGCTTCTGTGACACTGTTTCTCCTGGTCTTCCTCCCCCCTCTCTGACTGCTCCTCCTCCAACTCCCCTAGTGTGACCCCTCGTCCCAGCTTGCCTGGGGCCTCCTGGTTTTAGCACTAAAAGTCCCACATCTCAAGGCCTCCCTCAGTTCAGGGCAAACGGGGGCCGCTGTTGACCCTAGACTCACCCCTGACCATTGGGGTGCTCCACTTCTCACTCTTGGCTCTCTTCTCTTCTCAGTCTCTGTGCTCTCCCTGGGGCTTCTCACCTGTTTCCATGGCTGCAAGCACCTCTGCGTGGGGACGAGCCCCATCTGAGATCCAGACCCACGAGCTAACTGCCTACTGGGCGTCTCTGCTCAGACGTCTCCTGGCAGCTCAGACTCACCATGCCTACATGTCTACATCTGACCTCGCCACCCGATCCCAAACTGCTTGAATTTCTGGTCTCCCATTGCAATGAAGAGCTTCACCATCCACCCAAGAGTTACATATCCTAGACACTTCTTCCCTCTCCACCCCATCCAATTAATAACCTAATCTTGTCAATTTTACCTCCTAAATCCCTGACTCTCTCCAAATATTTCCATCCCCATTGTGACTCCCATAGTGTAGGTCACCACCATCTCTTGTCCTGATCAGGGCAAAGTCTAGAGGGAAGGTCCACAGTGGTCATTCCTGTGGTGAGTATTATGGGTTGAATTGTGTCCCCAAAAAGATTTGCCGAAGTCCTTACCCTAGTACCTATGAATGTGCCCTTATTTGGAAATAGGATCTTTGTGGATGTAATCAAGTTACGATGAGGTCTTTAGGGGCGGCTCTAATCCAATATGAGTGGGGTCCTTATAAGAAGAAGAAAATGCCACGAAGACAGAGACACACGGGAAGAGCAGCGTGCAATGACAGAGGCAGAGACTGGAATAATGCAGCTGCGAGCCAAAGCATGCCAAGAACGGCCGGCCACCACCAGAGGCTTGGAAGGGGCAGGGAAAAGACTACCCAGAGTCTTAGAGGGAGCATGGCCCCGCTGATATGCTGATTGTGGACTTCTAGCCTCCAGATCTTGAGAGAACAAATTTCTACTGTTTAAAGCCGCCCAGTTTATGGTACTTTGTTACAGTACTCCAGGAGCCTATTACAGTGAGATATGGGCAATTTTTATTTTCTTATTTATACTTTTCAGTATTTTAGAGATTATCTGTAGTGGATACATAAGACTTTTATGATCAGGAAAAACAAACTTATTCTTAAAAAGAAATCCTCACTCAGCGAGAATCCTAAGCCCCCTATTGGATTTCTCTCTGCGAATCGAAACCATCTGCATTCACAGCTCACTGATCACATCGACGTGGCTTTATGACTCCACTGTCCTCATCGACACAACCTCACCATTCCAGGAAACTCGTGCCCAGGAAGACAAAAGTTGCAAATAAAATAAGCTTATTGTTTGTTTCAGGAACTTTGTGAAAAACATTTAAGCAAACATCATATTGTTCAACTATTCAATAGATAGCATCAAATGACTGCCTGCTCTCCAAGACTCTTCGGAGCCCTTGCCTTGCTGTGTCCCCAGTCCTGAACTACTGAATCATGATCCCTCTCCATCTTACCACTTTCCCAGTCTTAACGAATTTCATGAACTTAATGAGAGACCCTGGAAATGCACACACACCCCATCTTCGTCTGCCCTTCTGAGATGCTTCTAAGACTCTGCCAGGGGAGCCCAGCCCTCTCCACGGTCAGCAGGATGCCTGGCCCTGCCTGGGCAGCAGTTGACTTGGTGGTACTCTCCGGCTTTCTACATCTAATACATCCAAAATGTTGCATTTATCGAACGCCTCCTATGCAGAGACTGAGCTAGGCACTTAACACATACCATTTCAGGGCATCTGAGAAACGACCTGTTAACAGATAAACTGAAGCATATTAAAAATTTTAAGAGTTTATCTGAGCAAAAATTGATTCGAATCGGCAGCATCCCATCCAGCAGGCAGAAAGGAGGTCTGGTTGCTGTACAAAAGGAAGACTTGTATAGGGAGAAGGAGTGGGAACTAGGAAGCTATACTAGGAAAGAAGCGGGTTGGTGATGACAAGGTCACTGTACTTCAGGGATGGCAGGGGTCCAGCAGGCAGACGAACTTACCAGTGCTCATCAGGCAATTTGTGATTGACTGGGTTAAGATGCCATTTCTGGGAGAGCAGAAACTATCATTTAGTTAAGTCTCAGTTTGGTGGCGTGGGGCTATGTGACTCCATTTTGGGCCTGTTGTCTTATGGTGAACAAACCCCAAGAGCATAGAGATGACCCCCGGTTTGTAGCTGGGGAACAGACTCCGCCCATGTACCCAGGGCCACCCCGTTAGTAACCAGCAGAGCCTGTACTCCTGGTACTCTTCTGCCTCTCCAATTCACTGAGACTCCAATACAAAATACACACAGTCCGGGGTCTATTTTTGGGAACTGATGGCATTCTGCTTCCAATTATCCTGATAACCACCTCACGTGGACAGACGTCCCTCCTGGAAGACCTCACCCTGGCGGTTTCCGAGGGGAGTCACTACAGAGACCATTCCCATCACACAAAGGCAGCCCTGGGCCCCAGGACTTCTGTTTCTCTGCCCTGGGCCCGGAGAATGGTAGCCATGAAAGGCAAATGGGCTTCAGTGGAAAACAAGCAATTATTCCAGCAGCCACATTTCCCACAAGGCACTGGTGCAAAAAGGGAACAAGGAAGAAAGGTGGCACCCTCCGCACAGTGGCTGGAACACAAAGCGCACCGCCGTGTTTCTGCCTCCTCGATTCAGACCCATGCGGTACGGACGCCACGCCAACCTGCAGACCGGATTCTGTTCCTCCCCCTCAGTAGCTCATGTACATATTTGCTCTAAAGTAGGCAGAATTTGCCCATGGGTGGTCTTTGATTCGGAAGAAGTCAACCCCAGAGTGGTGACTCACAGAAAACAAAGGTGGCTTGACTCATTCCATGCTCAGAAGGGGAGGTGTGTGCAGAATTCACTTACCCAGAAGAAGAAGTTAAAGACAAAGAGTAGATACTTCAGGTAGACGATCAGCCAGTCGTCCTGCTCAGCCTTGTAATGGGCCATGGCTGCTGGGCCTGCAAAGAAGACACACGTGCTGGGCTGGGGTCTACGGGAGCCACCTTGCCCTCCCGGAGCCAGAGCTGCTCGACAGGGTTCCCTTCAAAGCACCTACTAGTGCGTGTCTGGCCAGGTGGGTCTGAGGCCGTGGGTGTGCAACCAGGAGCAAAGACCAGGGAAATGCAAAGGCTACTGGACTCGCAATGGAGGTGAACTGGGCAGAATTTTCTAGACCTGTGGATCCTGGTTTTGTCCTTTGACAAGTGTAACCTCTGAGTCTTCCTACAGACTTTGCACTGGTGTTCTTATTGTCTTCTCCTGTCTCATCAGGGTCGCAGGACAAAGTCTACCTGTCCTCCACACACGTGTGCACACACACACATGCTAGGCATGCCTGCTTTGCACTGGAATCCTGCACTCTGCATCACTGAACAGGCCCTTTGCACGCACAGGTGAGGCATGAGCCCCAACTCAGAGGGTCTGCTGGAAACGACCTCTACGATAACCCAGTTCACCCCATTGTCCCTGCACCTCGACTTTCCAAATAAGGAGGCAGGATGCAGGCCAGATGGTTTGGCCGGAAGAAGTACAAGAGCTCTGGAGTCTGGCTCCCTGGGTTCGAACCCTGATGTGTCACAAGATCTGGAAGACCTGGGTGGGTTATGTAAACCCCCATCCTTAGTGTCCCCACCTGGAATGGAGATAAGGCTGATGCTGCATCGTGGGGCTGTTCTGAAGACTAATGGGATCATCTATGTGAGCGTTTAGCACAGTCCTTGGCACACAGTAAGTCCTCAGTAAACGTTAGCTATGATTATTTCACATAGCAGGGACTAGAACCCAGGACTCCAGCCCTCAAACTCCTGGTCTTTGCCCCAGGACCATGCTCCCTCCCCTTGTCCTGATGCTCACTGATGGGCCCTCTGGGACCCGTGACAGGGATGGGGTGAGGGAGATAGAGAAGGCCCCCTGCGCCAGGTAATCCTGTTCGCTTCTGTGAGCCTGACCACAGCCTGTGGGCTCCTCTTCTTCTCGGGCTCCGCGTCCCAGGCACCTGCACACACTCCCTCACTCACAGCAGCTGCTCCTTAAGAAACTGTCCCCCTTTCAGGGGCCTCTTTTATTCCAGAACCATAGCAATGAGGCATGGGCTTACCCATTTCCGTCTCCTTCTCCCTCACTCCCCATCCCAGGTCGGGCCCTCCCGCCTCGGTGCTGCGCCGTCTCCTGGCTGGTGCCAGGCCAGCCCCGATGACTTCCCCGAGCCACTGCACTGCCTATTATTCCGAGCCCATGGGCTCCTGACACAGGGAGAGAGGAAGAGAGAGAAGGGAAGGGGCTGTCTTATTCGGGATTTCTATTTGCAGACCTTGAAGAAGGTAATTTAAGACTTTTAGTCTTCTTGTTAAAAAAAGACAAAACCCATTTTTCTCCGATTTAGTCTGAGAGGCAGGTTGGTGGAAAAAAACACAGAAGGAGAAAAAAGGAAGCCTGTAAAAAAAGTGTAAAAGCTGGAGATAGATGAGGTCAGCCAGGCGACTGGAACGGGAGCCACTACATGGTCATCACACAGGTGGCCCTGATGAGAGACCCTCTGGGCCACGCAGGCCATTTGTGAACTGTCTGGGGCCAGGCTCTCCTGTCTCACTCTCTTCTCCCTCTGCCTGCCCTCCCCTCCCCACCAGGGTCCACCGGACCCCTGCCCCAGAACCTCCTCTAGACCTGCTAACCAAGGGGTCAGGACCCTCTAAAGGAAAATCGTATTTTTAAAAAAGGAGTTCAGGTAGAAGACAGGATTTAACAAAAAGAAACACATTCCTAATGGTAAAAGTTCAGACATCAGTGGTAGAGAAGATAGCACCACAGAGCGTCAGGGTCAGGGGAACCTCTGGGCTCACTGAATTCACCCTTCTGCAGAAGGAAGGAGGAAATTAATACGTCTGAGTTAAGACATACGTTTTTAAATGACCTCTCTAATGTCACATGACTAACTAGTGGTAGCAGTTTCCTATGCCCCCTGCTCAGCAGTCCTTCCCCCACTGTGCCCCCACCATATGTGGGGCCCTGTGCTGGGGGTGGCAGAGGTCCCAAAGAAGTGTCAGGACCAGCTTGGAGCCAGATGCCTGGATCTGAAAGCTAGCCTTATCATTCACCGGCTGTGTGACCTTGGGCAAGTACTTAACCTCTCCGTGCAGCTCACATTTATCGAGCACTTATGGTGTGCCAGGCAAAGGACTAAGTGGTTCACATGTATTATCTTGTCCCATCTTCCCAGTGGCCCTATGAAGTAGGGTTATTCCCATTTTGCAATTTATATGTTGTTATATAAATTTTATTCATGTACTACTGTCGATCTGAGGCTTAGACAGATTCAATAACCTGCCCAAAGTCACAGAGCAAGAAAGCGGCAAAGCCGGAATGTTATGAGGAGTTTCTGACTCGGCCCACGCTCTTACCACTGCGCAGGGCTCTCAGGACCAGAGCTGCCGGGGAAGGAAGGGAGGGAGGTTTCCCTAAGGCTCCTTCTCCCCTTCTGCTTTAGAGCCAGAAAGCCTCAGTTTCAGCTGGGTCCTTGGCCGTCTGGAGCCGCTGGCACTTCTCTGCGGGGAGCCCGCATTACTTGCTGGCTAACGGCCCACAGGCAGAAGCGGTGTCTGCAACTTCTCAGAGGCGTCATTTGTCTGGTGTATGTTTCACGAGCATTTGAACAGACTGTGAATCCTGTCACTGTGAGGTGCAGAATTCTGTATGTGTCAATTAGGTCAAATTTGTTAACTGCACTTTTCACAACTATATCCTTACTGATTTTGTGTCTGCTTGTTCTATTGTCTATTGAAAAAGGTACATTACAGACTCCGACTATGACCATGAATTTGTCTATCCTTCCTTTAATTCTTTTCATTTTTTGCTTCATATATTTTGCAACTATTTTATGGAGTACGTACAGATTGAGAGTTGTAACATCATGCTGGTGGATCGATCCCAAATCATTGATAAATGTCATTCTTTATCTCTAATAATCAAAAATATCCTTAAAGTGAGGATGGGGCATGTCTCTTTTCACCCTTTCCTTCTTTTTGTTGGTTGGAATGCTGACATAATGGCTAGAGCTCGAGCAGCCATTTTGAGCTATGAGCTAGAAATCATAGGTTGAAAAGGGCAGAGCAATCAGTTCACACAGCCTGGATCTCAGATGATTTTGCAGCTGCCATACTAGCCCTGGGCTGCTCACTTCCAGACTTAGTTTATATGAGAAAACAACAAACTCGTAGCTTCTTGAAGGTGCGTGTTTGCATATTCTATTACCCACAGCTAACTTCACCTTGATACGGTAGAGGGAGCGCTGGGCACAAAGGTGCGTGAGAGCATAGTGTGCAGGGGCACTGCAGATGCGGCAGTCAGACCAGAAGGTGAAGATGCGGCCATGCAGCCTTTTCAACCTTACACTCCATCACTAACATGCTCTCAGCACACCCCATATATATGTGTATTCATTTATAACTTTTATTCATGTACTATTGTCAACCTATTTAGTAAATACCATCAAAGCTTAATTACTTTTTTTAAAGATAAAAATAATTAGGAACAGGAATTCTATGTAGATTGTCTGTCTCCACTTTGGGGCCCATGCCCAGAAGCCAGGGGAGAGGGGCAGGCCACAGTGCCACGTGCTGCCGAGGTCCCAGCCACAGGAGGGCCAGCGAGGGCTCACCATTGCCAGAGCATCAGTGGAGGATGGCAGGGGGTTAGGGATCCAGGAGGAAATGGATACTCGGAGGTAGGTATTCTCAAATGAGAAGGCTAGGGAAGCAGCTTGAAGAAAGCCTGGGGCACAGGAGCGTTTTTGCTGTAAAGAAGGGAGACTTGCGCATGCTCATTTCACTGAGACAGATTCCACAGCCCAGGCACCTACTCTACTGCCAAGTGACACCGGACAGGTGGGTGGGGTGAAGGAGGGTGAGGAAGAAGTGCCCTGTTTCTTGCCCCTTAAAGCAATGCCCCCAGGCGGTTCCCTGGCAGACAGCTGTCCTCACGTACTTCCCTCTCCAGGACTTGTCTACATCCGCCGCCCACCCCAACCCCCACACCCCCGGTTATCCTCAGCCCTCCCTGTGGTTAGAGTAACATAGGAGGGGAGGGGCGGAGGGAGTGGGAAGGGCCGCAGCAGCCCCTGGAGAGAAGAAAAGCAAACACGGGCCACTTGACAGGTCTCATCGCCCCCTGCCAGCCACTGGAGGAGCCAGGGCTTCCGCTAACCTTCTGAGACCATTTTCCCTGAGCCCTGGTGTCTGGGAAACAGACTGACCTTCCTAAGTGGGTTGTGTTTCTGTCCAGAGGATGGGGAGTTGGATTTCCTGAACCAATGGGAGGAAGTGTCCCCAAGTGGCACAAATAGACAGGGGTTGGGGGGGCAGACAAGACAGAGACCCCTCCCCTAGGGGTGGGAGTCAACATTTGTTCCCGGGTTTTGGACAAGCGTGTGAATAAAAGAAGAGGTGGCTGTGTCTTCTCGACCCCCGCTTCCACCGAGCTGACCTCTTCCTTGGCCTCTGAAAAGACCGGCTGCACCCTCCCCTCCTCTGGGCCTCTGCTGGGGCTGTGCCCGGACCCTGAAGTACCAGCTCGCCTGCCGGTCCAAATGCCAGGCTCACAGGAGCCCATCCTGTCCGATGGTGGCTGTCCCCCTTTCCCTGCCTGACTGCGGTGCCCACTGACGACAGCAGTTGGTTTGGGTCCTTTTGGTACCTTTTTCCTTCTAATAGGCTGGCTGATTCGACTCTGGGGCACCTGCTCTGAGTCTGCTGACCACACTGGCTGCCGTCTGCGTGGGGGAGACAGGACGCTGGTCCGGCTCTGCTGCTTCACTGCTGCCTGGGCTCAGGCAAGTTCTCCCCTTCTCTGGGCGTCTGTTTCCCCAGCTATTGGGCGGGCCGGTGGTTCTCTTGAGCAAGCATCAGAATTATCTGGAGGGCTTGTTAAAACACAGATTGTCAGCTGCACCCCCCAGGTTTCTGAC